GCGCAAGGTCCCAAGTTCCATCCCTGGTATCAAAAAAAAAAAAAAGAACCAGAAAAATATCAAAAGTAAGATGAGTGGAAAGAAACAGAGAGAGAGAGAGAGAGAGAGAGAGAAGGGAGGGATGGAAGGACAGAGGGAGGGAGGAAGAGGAACAAAAAGGAAAAAAAGGAAAGAAATCCCAGTAAAGGTCTTGGTTTCCACTTCTACATTTGTGTAAAAGTTATATGTTGTTTCAACTAAACATCTGGTCTTCATCCCTCATATACAAAGTTCTGAGTTTTCTTGATCATTTGGCAAGAGGTACCACAACCCCCTGCCAGGCCAGTAAAAATCAGATTTTCTTTTTGCAAGGAAAAAAATGTCAATAAAATTAAACATTAAAAACATATAAAAGCTTGAATTGGAAAGGTGTGTGGTAGAGGCTGTTCTTAATCAGCCTGCACAATTGCTTTAATTTTTTTTTTAAATGCCACCAGTTCATATAATTTGAAAGCTCTAATTCTGATACTGAAGGTTGGCTCAATGTATTGTTCTAAAATATGTCCTTTAGATACAGGGACCTTGCCATTTAGTCAACCTTGTAGAATAAATCATGTGAATTAATTTTTATCAATATTTAATGTTCTTATATTGTACAAATTGATTCTTTAAATTACTTCAGCCAGAATTGAATTTTAACTGCTTTTACTACATAGAGGACTAATCTTTTCTCTCACATTCCCATCAGTGCCTTCCCAGGCCCTGGCACTGTAATCTGTCATAGTAAAAAGCAGAGAAGTAAATACAATCCTGTCATTAAAATATGACAAGTTCATTATAAAAAGCCACTCATAAATCTAGAAGCAAGGTACTACCATGCTTTTTTAAAATAATAATTTTATACAATTTCATATGATGTTTATATTTGGAACAAAGGCAGGTATTTCTTTCTCTCTGCCGCACATAACACTGAAATGAGTTATAGCAATACTATCACCCACCTCTAAAGAGAGCCTGAAATTAGTTAACAAATGGTTACAAAATACTTTGAAACATAAAATGCAAAATAAGATTCTAATAACCATAAATTCTTCTGTATAACACAATAATTGGATTATGCTTAGATAAAAGGGAAAAATAAACATTTAAAAAATACAAGCAGCCTAGAAGTAAATGGTTGGATTGAGGATGAAAAGAAGGGTTCTATAATCAGATCCTTGGATATTAAAATTAACCACCTCTTTGGTATCCTTCACCGTGGCTTCAGGAAGCATGGATCCATGTGGGATGTGAACTGCCTCTTCCACATAAAGATTTAAATAGAAATCTGCAGCCCATGGCACAAAACCCAAAAACAGAAACCTCTTATTCTACTAGAAGTGCAGATAGTCCAGAGCATTACAAAGTCTTAAATCCAAATTCAAGCCTCCTCTTGGATGGAAAGAATTTGTCCCTCATGCTTACTGCCTGGCTAGGTGCAGCTAACAGGCACAGAAAGATAATAAGCAATCAAAGAACACTTTTCTGTCCCCGAGTCTGCCTGGTGGGAGAGCCTGAAACACTGTCAAAAGCCCTCCTTGAGGCTGTGCAGTCTCTTTTCATACCCTTCCTGGTGTTTGCACATAAGTTATGCCTACGGACATGGCAAGATCTACCAGAACACACTGAACTTATCAAGCTGTGTGATTGATTAATTATAACAAAATAAACCTAAACTCACACTCATCCTCCTTATACCTGACTGCTCAGGTATGAGCGTCAATCTGGGAAAGTCTTTTTGTTTGTTTGTTTGTTTGTGGTACCAGGGATCAAACTTAGGAACTTGTGCTTGTGAAGTCTGGGAAAGTCTTAAAGGTGAACCCCAATAGGAGAATGTTAAGGTATTCCAATTTCAGGACAAGCCACCAACTTAAGCTCTAATCATGCATAGATCACAGTAAAAAGAAAATTCTTGATAATGCCAAAACTAGAAGGAATAATTAAAAGATTTCCATTTAACTCTTTTTCTCGATACTACTGAAAAATTTAGACATTCATTTAGACATAAAATTTCCTGAACATCCATATAATAGATAATGGAAATACCACTATGATCTACACAAGCTAGGTCCTGGCCTCATAGAGTTTCCAGCACAGTGGAGGACACAAGACAAGGCAAAGTGACAAGAGCCAGGGTCAGGAAGGAAATAGAGCTATCTTTATTAAATAGAGCTGGGAGTCAGGAGAGACTTTTCACATGTGATGCTTCATCTGAGGCATAAACAGTGAATATGTAAGGAGAGAGTCAAGTGGACAAATACTCAATGCACAGGAAAGACATGAGCGGAGGGCTGGAGACACGAGAAAGCACAACCATTTGGAAGAACAGAAAAGTTTGTCATAAAGCAGAGAGTTGGTGGACAATTAATGCTGGAGAAATAAGCAGAAGTTAGATCATAAAGAGTGGGCTTTATCCTGCAGCCTGGAAGGTGTCTCCTGCTTGTGACTGTGGCTAAGTTCTGGCCTAGGGCACCTAGCAAGCCTCCCAGCCATCCACACTTTTCCCATATGGTCTGAATTCCAGTCAATTTGCTCTCTCCTTGAATATTCCGCCTCATTTCTAATGTATTCTTTTTTTTCTTTTAAGGCAAAGTCTCACTACGTAGCAATCCTCCTGCCTCAGCCTCCTGTGTGCTATGTCTAGTGTATTCTTTACCCTTTTAAAGCTAAACTATTGCTATAATTAATTAGTTACATTAATCATTCCTTGATCAAATCACTATATGTTTTCTGTCTCCTGATTGGGCTCTGACTGACGTAATACTATTCACTGAAATAAGAAACATAAGAGGAAAAACGGGTATTGAAAACATAAATTTCATTTGAAGATAATGAACTTATTGCTTATAGGACTCCAAATAGCATTTTCTGATAAGAAGCTGAGTATTTGGGGGCCTAAAGCTCAAACATGTCCAAGCTGAAGCAAGGGACTTAGATGTAAGATCTTAGGCTTCTAAACTTTTAGCAAATACAGCATGCATCTAAGCGCCACAAGTCAGGAAGATTGTTTGTATGCTTCTGTGTCATCAAGAAGCCCAAAACCAATTAGCCTATATGTGTGCCTGTAGAAGCACACTTCACCAAAAGATTGATGGTTATTTCATACTGTGTATGTTAGGTAATTTTGTTCTATATCTGTTAATGTTTTCAAAGCTAAATGAAGATACGGTTGGAAAGAGCCAAGCCCTATATTAATGAGGTCATTATGATCGCACTCTAAACTTGGAAGCCTAACCAGGTGGAGGCAGGAGGGCAATTAGTCATAAGGACTACACTGGACTTTGACTAGAATCAGAAAAACTCTAATAGACGTGCCAAGGGTTTCAGTACTAAGTGGCACGTTGACACTGGTGAATTATATAAGTTCCACGTTATTTCAAAAGGACAACTAGATACAAACAAAATTTTGAAAGAGACCTAAACTGATGCCTTCTGCTTTTTCCAGGGTGTGAACTTGGTCAACAAAATTTGCCCCTTGCTTCACCCATTTCTCAAAAGTTTGGATCTACAGACCACACAAAAAAAGGAAGTTCCATCAGCAGTTTGCATAAGAATAACTTGGAAGAGAAGTATATTAAATCCTTGGGGAAATTAAACCCAAATAATCCAATAACAGCATTACAAAATTAACACTAGACTATGAATTGAATTAATTGCCTCCTACTGTGGGGACTCTTGGCTACACAAACCAAAACAAATGAAGCCAATGAAGTCAGCTGCCTTAAGAGAGGTCACAGGCAAGTGTGATTTTAAGGCATTCCAAGAGTTCACCCACTGTTTTTCAGGTTTCTGGCTGATCCTAGAGCTCTTCAACCCAGAGAATGGTCTTCACTGCTGCCATTTCACACCTTGAATTATGTACAGAAGGTTGGTGAGATGGACTAGAGATGCACAGTTCTTAATACCACAGAGCAATGGTGTGACTTTTTGTCAATTCACCTCCAAGTGTTTGCATACACAAGTAGCTGGAGTGTTGGAAATCCATGCAAAGGTCTTTTACTCCTGAGAGGGTTAAGGAGACCAGTGGGACCATGAGACCATTTTTCTGGACCTCAGGCAGTCTAGTGACAAGGCAGGGCTTTAAGAATACCAGTGAACTGCTCCAAAAGAGCCTTGCTATGGCATTTCAGTAAATACACATTTAGTTCTATAAATTCTTTTAATGCCATGATGTCAGTATGCTTGTGGCAAAGGAAGATTACCTAAATAATATGGACTATGGGAGTAACAAAATTAGCATGTGTGTCACTTACCCAGCCTTCATTAGAGTTCTTAGGGACTTTGGGCAGGAAGGAAGGATATGGTAAATTGATAGAAATAAAACCCAGGTGATTCATGCAGATTTGCCAAATAAGACCCATGGGGCAAAATCCAAAGGGTTTGACTGCTTCCAGCTTCTCCTGAGTTAGCCAGTTTGTCAAAATGCCTATTGCATATTTGCTCTTCTGCTCATTCTTCACATAACAGCTGACATTTACTCCTGAAGCTTTTTAATAACCAAACAGGATTTCACCAAAAATTAATCTGTGCCATTTTATTGGGGTATTGTATGACTTATAATTCTTTTCACATTCTTAATTTTGTTTGACATTTTGAAAATAGTATGCCTAACTCTTTTGTGTGAATTTTAAAAACTGTAGCTAGCTTGTATGAAATCCTTTCTTCTTCCTTCCCTCAAAAACCAATGGAAATACTAAAACAAAGTACTTTTTGTTTACGCTCAAAGAAATAAAGCGTCCTGTTTGGAATCTTAATTACTATTTCCTCAACCTTATCTAATTAGAAGACCTTTCATAATGAGGAAAATTATTTTTAAAGTTAATGAATTTGCAAGCACAAACACATATTCCTTACATGCATATTTTAGTTACACATGCTAATTAATATTAGTACTTAAAATGTGTGATATTAATTTCATTGTAACAGGAAACATTTTGTTTTGGTACTGTATAAAAACACCATGATTTCCCTTCATGAAGACACTGGGCTGCACATAGTAATTTTAGATTTGCACAAAATGGAAATTATTTCATCAAAATGGTTCATTTTATTGACTTTAGCCACTTCAATCTTGTTAACATCAAATATCTTTTGTGCAGATGAATTAACAATGGGACATCTTCACAGGAAAGAAAATTATGAGAAATGTTCCAAGGTAAGTTTTTAAATCTAATATGACCAGCATTATATATGTAATACTTGTTCTGAATCTGATGCTTTTTAAAAAGTAAGGAATAAATTCATTTCTGTTTACTTTTCTATTTTTGGTTCTTGTTTTGTTTTGTTTTCAAACTTCAGCCTTCCTGTCATAATATATTGATGTAACTTATATTACTTAGCACAATAGCAAATAGCCGGGCCAATCTAATAACAGAGTCTGCTACTTACACTGTGATACTTACCAAGCATAGAGCACATTAATACATTTTCAATTGACTCAGAACTGCATATTTGTAATAAATATTTGTCAAAATAAGATGTGGATACATTTTAGCTGGACATCTGAATTGTCTTAAAGTATGAATAATCACAACATTTATATTTTCTACCTAGCAGTTACAAGCTGGTAAGTTTATGGTAAATCTTTATCTAAGTTAAACATTTATCTATCCCTAGATGTTAGAATTGCAAATTATTTTTGTTTATTATGTTTTGATATCTTTTCCAAGTTTGCTAGAATGAGTATGTATTACTCATTTTACTTAGTTATAATCATTTAAAAATCTTTATATGGACAAACTTTTATAGTAAAACTAAAACTAATTAAATATTTAAGGTATTTTAAGTAGTTCCTGTAAGGTTGGTGTGTTTATGTTGCAGTAATCCACAAACCAATCAGTTCTTTACTGAAAATGTAATTTATATTCTAATTAAAATAAAATTGGTTTCTTGAGACATTTTTAGGGTAGAATGCTGAATATGAAGGGGTAAAAAGGAAATTCACTGGGGCCTTCTACAACTGTATCCCAAAACCTGGCTAGGATCTCTATTTCTATTTTATCATATTTCCATGTATCAACATGGCCTTTAAGGGGAGGAGGAGGATACAAAACATGGAAAGGAAATGGGAGATTTCTCTAAAGTCAACATATAAAATATATACAATATTTCATAAACAACATGAATCAAGAAACTGAAAGAGAATAACTTCAGTAAAATAAACTTTTCCCTCATTTCAATACCTCATTATATTTCTGCTGCTCAAACACATTGCTATATCTGCTATATATATTTTATTAATATTTTATAGTTATCTTACAATAGTCTAGGGACAGAGAAACTAGATTGCTTTAAGAAGCTTAATACAAATTATTTATTAAAAAGTCTTGCACATAAGAACACAAATTTGTTTATAGCTTTAACAATTCTGCAGAATAAAGCCTGGGTTTAAGTTAATGTGGGGTTTAAATCTATGTTTTATAACAATGATAAATTATTTTACTGGTCATTTCTAATTATAGCCTAGAGGAACCCCAAAAGGAGAAAAGAAAAGTTTCAGTTTTCAAGAATTAAAAGACTGGGCACCAAAAAACGTCATTAAGATGAATACACCTGCAGTCAACAAAATGTCACACTCTGCAGCCAACTTGCCACTGAGATTCGGGAGGACCGTAAAAGAAGAAAGAAGCTCGGGAGGTCCAGTCAACCTGCTTCTGAGATCTGGAAGAAATATGGAGCCGAGCATCTCCAGACATATTCCTAACCTTCCCCAAAGGTTTGGGAGAATGACAACAGCCAAAAGTGTCACTAAGACACTGAGTGATTTGTTTAGACGATCCATGCATTCACTCTCTGCCAATGAGTTACTTCACTGCATGACCTGCCAGAGTCAAGAAATCTAGAATCTTGATTAAAAAAAAAAAAAAAGGTAAATATTTGAGAACTAGTCAAAGTGCATGGGCTGTGGTATAGAACTGGTCCAGAAACTTAGAAAAAGGACTACATTTTTTCAAAATAACTTTTCAGATAGTAAGTTTCTTCAGAGGAGAAAGGTGAAGACAGGGACACAAATACCTGTAAACTAAGAACTGTGAAGGCCAGGTACTATAATCCTGGCTATAGGTGCATAGTAATGACATGGCCACCCATGGGCACCAGTACCCTAAGCCACCCATGGGCATCAGCCTCATTACTCCATAAGCCACACAGTACACCCATGCAGTGCTGAGACTGAGGATTTAAGCCGGTGACATGTTGTCTGACACTTGACCCTCTAACGTTAAAAAGATCCACAAGACAGAATTGTCCTCAAATCCAAAGGACACCATCTCCATAGCCCAGATACCAAATGCAGATTGATTCTTTTTCCCTTTTAATCAAAGACTTTTTCTTTTTTCTGGATCTCATTTTATAAATAAATCTTGTAATAATCATTATATTAAGTATTTATTATCCACTATGTATAAATCAGACTGTAAGTTACTACAAAAGATATTTAATTAATGTCATCTTTCAGTACAGAATATATGTTTTTTAAAAACATTTTTATATAAAGTAAAATACAGTGCTTTCATTAAGGACAGAAGAAAGCAAGGTAGCAGCAAGCTGTCACCTTACCAGACAGGCCACCTCAGAACACTTCTGGTTGATTTTTTTCCAGTGGTATTTATCCTCATCTGACTTATTATATGGTTAGGGTCAGTCATTTTCATTAGATTTCAGTATTATAAATCCTATAATTTTTGTCTACTGCCACATCTCCAGTGCCTAGGCCTGTGTCTGCCACAAAGTAAGCCCTTAGTGTTTGATAGAATGAAATGATATGAGAGACACAAAAGGTGCCACACAGGAAGCCAGGGACATTCCCTGAGTCGTACATGGAAGGGCAGCTGGAGTTTGCACACTCAGAAACTGGTGGGAGGAGGGAGGTCATTTCTAGGAAAAAGAGGTGTGTGAGCAGTGGCAGGTAAGCAAGGTAAGCAAGGTAAGCCAGAGAGCCAAGGTTCAGTTTGGCAAAAGCCAAAAAAAAAAAAAAAAAGCATGTGAAGAGCAGAGGATTGAAGAGAAGATGGGCAGAGGAAGAGCAGAACATAGAAACGCACGACCTAGACAAGAACATGGGGTGTTATTCATCAGGACATGGAAAATCCCTGTCATTTCTGCAAAGGTCCTGGGATATTACATAGGGGTAGAACTGGGGAACTAACCAGTTGGGAGTGGGGTGGGAGTGAGGAAGAGGTAAGTCAGTGGTAAGTTTTTGAAATTGACGCCCATCATCAATTCAGCATCACATCAGTGTCTCACTCATCTCAAGGGCAACACAATTCAACTGAAGTACAGTTAGGTGATTAGACTTATGGGTCATATTTTTATACGCTTTTGCACTCTGGTGTTCTGATGGATGAGAACATTTTGTTCTACTTACATTTTAGGAAACTGGTGTTCAAGAAAATAGATGATGCAGAAGTGAAACAAGAAAAATAAGATATCTGGAGCCTGTGCCCAAAGAGGATACAAAACTGTGACCTGTAATCTATAGGCAGCTCTATGGCAAAGACAAGAAATAATGGCAAGACTCTTGATGGATTATGTATCGTTGATTGCAATTTTTCCTGTCAGTACAAGTTATGTAAAACAATTTAAAGAATATTTGTAATGTAAAGTTAAAATAATTTTTGTCTGAATAAAAAGAGCATTGTAAATACTTAAGAAGTCTCTGGTAACAGGGAGATTGAGGGAGAGAGGGAGGGAGAGAGAGGAGAGAAAGACAGAGAGAGGGGCTGAGGCCACATCACGATCCTATGTAAAAGTCACAGACATGGTTATACTTAATTAAAAAATTAAATAAAAGAGTAACAAATGTAATGAAAATTAAATAACTTAACAGAATACCATAGTTGACAAGTAAACGTATAAACATGTTTTAAACACCAACTTTTTTCAATCTCATTGTTAGATTTTCAGTGTGTGAATCTATGATAGCTTGAAATTTATTTTTTTGCTACTTACTTACTCACATTTACTTAAAATATGTCCACCTCCTTCCAAAAGGTGGAAGACACAGGAGCCCATCTCTTATATTATGAGGTATATGGTAACAACAACAATAATCCTAAATGCAAAAGGACCATCAGGTGCCTAAATATAAAACATTATATGCTCAGTAAAAAATGTAATCACTGCACTTGGAGTCAGACACAATTAAGGAAAATATTACCTGGTAAGAATTTGTCCCTCTTTATTATCTCCAATGCTTATTTGAGCTTGCTATTTATTAAGTGGACCTGAGTTATTGAAATGTTTATTAGATGTTACATATTTTATTCACTGTTGTTACAAGTATTAAAAAATCAGGAGTTTTACTTGCCCTTTTTAAAAAAATTATTGTAGTAAAATACATGTAGCATAAAATGTACCATTTCAACCATCTTTAAGTTTACAATTCAGTGGCATTAAGTTCATTTCACTTGGCCTTTTTACATATCCTGGCACTATTCACTAATTATATTCCCACTAATACCTATGTAAGCACATTCAAAGCTTTAGCTTTATTTTGGCTGCTAAAAAACTTCTTATGAGAACAATAAGGTTGATGGTTTTCACAGATGCCCCGACTGTTACAGCGTCTTCTATTATTTTAGAGTGTCAACTTTTTCACTAGAACATTAAATTTTTCCTACAACACCCTTTAACCCTGTCTCAAAAGGGGGTAATTGTTGCTAATAATTTTTTTTCTTCCAAACTCTTTTCATCTCATCAACTCATAACACACTGCATTCACTTAGGGCTGGAGCTTATTCACAAATACCTGGGGCCCCAAAGGTTTCTGTTGGCAGACAGGTATGGGGAGACATTTATTTCAGAACACTATGAAAATAAAGCTTCAGTACTTTAATTTTTCTGAGTAATGAAAAAAGTCAACAATTATTCATATGCTATTTTATAACTTTTCTGTGAATTGTAGGGCTCCTTTACATTCTTCCTAGGAGCCTGTTTTTACTTGGTTTCTTATGTTTTCCTGGTATTTTTATATTACAGTCAATAAATTTTAGAGACTTTGCACTTAATGTCTTAGAATACATAATAATAATTAGTCAAAAAGATGCCCAAAGATAATAATAAAAATAGTTGCTCATAGAATGTATTGTGCCATTTCCTCTCATAATTTAAAACTAATGTAATACATATAATCCCATGTGTAGCATAAGGAATAGGAAGAGTTATTACCTACGTTTTCATCCTAAATTTAGAAACTAAAGTAAGAAAGGAGTTAATAGAAAAATCACTATTAGAACAGGGAATGGAGTTAAATTATAACCAGATTAACGTCAAATTAACATTCTTTGTAGAAATAGAGAAATAATACTGTAATTCCAAAGGAAAAATATCACAAAATGTATTTTACTTCTGGATTTCTAGGCATTCATATAGTTTGGTTAATAAGACATAAAGCTATTGTTTATCTTTCTTTAAATATGCGATAAAAGTAATTAGCTACAGCAATGCACCGACATATTTCCACTCTGCTTTTAAAATATATTATGTAGGGCCGGGGATTTAGCTCAGTGGTTCTGCCGCCTGCCTTGCAAGTGGAAGGACCCAAGTTCAATCCCCGATACCAAAATATATATATATATATATATATATATAAAATGTAGCTTTTCCCTTGTAATTTAAAGCACTGAAATGTAACCGATGTTGCAAAATTATTTTTCACCACTAGAGGGCAGAAAATGCTCCATACGTATTTGTACATAAAAAATTTTAAATTCTTAGACCAAAATGGCAATATTCTGCACCTACCACAAGAACAAAAAGTCTTTAAGATATTCTTGTTTTAGTCTGTACAAGTAAGGCTCAGTAGGCAACCCTAAATTTTTTAATTTTTAATATACTATACAGGGCCAGGGATTTAGCTCAGCAGCGATGCACCTGCCTCACAAGCGCAAGGTTCTGAGGTCGATCTCTGCAACCAAAAAAAAAAAAAAAAAAATACTATACAGTCACCTCAATTCAATAGTTTATAGAAAAAAAAGTAAATATCCTTTTTGTATATGGATTCTATCTATGAATTAAGAGCCATTTATTAGCACCAGGGAACTAACACCTGCTTAAAACAAAACAGAGACCACTGAAAATAAGCAAAATTCTTTTTATGCTAAAATATTTGCAATGTAATATAAAGGTGGCATTTATTATAAAACTGAAATATTCACAGAATCCACAAAGCTATCAAATGCAAAATTACTGACATTCTAATCTTTAATTTCTATATATGTTTTCTTTTACCATAAGCCAACAGTAGATCTAATTTTGGCAAAGATGTGTTTGGTTTCCTCTTAATTTATCTTTGTGACCTAATTAACTTGTGTGTCCCTCCCAGTGAAGACATTTCCATTTCAGTAACTAAAGCATTACTTTCTTTGATTAGAATCCACAACCTCTTCACTTTCTCACTCCTGTTAATTAAAACACATCATGGTAAATTAAGTCATTTGGAGTTCAGTCTGTGTAGGTGACATTTTAACTACTACTCCTCAACCTCCTCTCTCTGTCAATCTTGTCTATGTCCTATATCATGGGACAAAGGGAACAATGGTGGCAGGCTGATGGAGGGATGGAGCCAGCAGGGAGCCAGGGTTATACATCATGAAGTCGCCGATTTCCTCGACGCATGAGGCCATCACTGCCAGTCAAACCTGATATGACTTCTACCTTGCGTGACTTTACCCATGGCACTAAATCATTTCTGAAGTCTTGTTTCTTCATCCAAGCAAAATGCTCTCCCTATTTCTCAGGTCTGCATGCACTGCTCACTCTAACATTAATAATGTCTAATAGCAGAACTTTTAGACCAACATCAGCCACAAAAAGGTGTTCAAGGATAACAAATCATCCTCGGTCTCCAGGCACAATTCCAAT